ATTTTTCTTCCTATATAGAAAGCTCAGCGGGAAGTGGTCACACATCTGAGTATCGGATATTTGAGAATTTAACCCCCTTAGAAAATAATATTGTATCTCTAGAATTGTAATGATGCAACTGATGATAGAATTGTTGCTATAGTAACCCCTAGCCACAAGTGGCTATTTAAATTTAAATTAATTAAAATTAAGCAAAATAAAAGATCACTTTCACAGTAGCAATAGCGACATTTCAAAGGCTTTAATAGCCACATATGACTAGTGGCTACTCTATGGGACAGGGCAATTATAGAACATTTTTCTCATTGCAGAAATTTCTATTGGACAGTGTTGAACAGGCAACTGTTGGCAAAAGTCACTAGAATGTAGATATTCAGAAAAGGTCTCCTTTCATTATTTGAGTGAGTTTCTGAAGTTTAGTGGAAGTCTATCAATAGGATGTTGTGATATATTTTTGTGAGAAAGGAGCCAAATGTGATGGTTAATTTTATGTGCCCACTTGACTGGGCCACAGGGTGCCCAGACATTTGACCAAACATTAGTCTGGGTGTGTCTGTGAGGGTGTCTCTGAATGAGATTAACATTTGAATCCACAGACTGAGCAGATTGCGCTCCCTAATGAGGGTATATATTATCCCCTTAGCAGATATACGGTTTGCAAATATTTTCTCCCATATCTTAGGGTGCCTTTTCATTTTGTTGATGGTTTCCTTTGCTGTGTAGAACTTTTTAGTCTGATGTACTCCCACTTGTTTACTTTTGTTTTTCTGCCTTTGTTTTTGTGGTCAAATCTAAAAATCATCACCACTGAACCAATGAAAAGTCTGAATAGAACAAAAAGGCTGCGTAAGGGAACTCCTCCTGCGTGACCACTTGAACTGGGACATTGATCTTTTCCATCCTTGAAACTTCAGCTCTTTTTGGGTCTTGAGCCTTTTAGCTTTATAACTAGAACTTACACCATCAGCTTTCCAAGTTCTCAGGCCTTCAAATTTGGACTAGAACTACACAGTGGCTCTCTTGGGTCTCCTGAGTGCAGATCTTGGGACATCTCAGCCTCCATAATTGTGTGAACCAATTATTTATAATAAATCCCTTTATATCACCTAGCACAGTATCGGGAAAATAGGTGTACTGCTTGGTAATATTATAGATCTATTACATATATAAATGTATATTTATTTACACATTTTCTCTAGAGAACATTGACTAATGCACCGAGAAAGAAAGGAAAAAAGGTTTTGGTAAATGATTGAAAGGTAAAATTTGTCCCTTGGGTTTTCTGTCTTTTGTATCTTGACTTTGAAGATACAGCAGGGAATTGATCCAGTAACGGAGGCAAGTGTTTATCTGCGAAGCAGGGAAAAGTGAAAGGGGCAAAGACGCCAGAAGGAACCATATAGTGCAAATATGCAAGGGAAGGAAGATATGAGAGCTATATAATAAATTAAGAGTTTGGTAAAAACAAAATTCCCAAATAGCAAAATAAAATTACAAAACTGAAAATCATAATTCAAGGTGAATCTTAGGTAGTTAAAAATATGATTGATTATTCTTAAGATGCCTGCCTAGCGACTTAGTGTTTGAAGGATCCCATTACACTGGTTAGAATAAAAGTGGCTGTACCTGAGTCTTCATAAGGAATGGTTTTCCTGCGCTTGGGCCTGAGCAGTAGATCAGTGATGGAGGATTTGAAGCTCCCATTTAGCCTGCACCTTATTCTTTTTTTTTTTTTTTTTTTTTTTGTGCGGTACGCGGGCCTCTCACCGCTGTGGCCTCTCCCGTTGCGGAGCACAGGCTCCGGACGCGCAGGCTCAGCGGCCATGGCTCACAGGCCTAGCCGCTCTGCGGCATGTGGGATCTTCCCGGACCGGGGCACGAATCCGTGTCCCCTGCATCAGCAGGGGGACTCTCAACCACTGCGCCACCAGGGAAGCCCAGCACCTTATTCTTTATTGCAACTTAGCAGCATATAAAAGACAATTGACTCATCAGCATGTGCAAACAAATAAGCACTCATTCTTTTTCATGAGCAAAGAAATAAATGAGTGGTATTAATTATCTGGCTAAAATAAATTATAATGAATGCAAACTCATTACTGTTGAAATCGATGCATGCATAACAGAAGGTACATTTATTGAAGTCAACATGTTTAATTACATTTGGAGTAATAAAGAGACTAAGCATGAAGTCCAGTGTCTCTTGAGCCTCAACATTAATTTTGATCTAATTTTCTTTTCCTTGATGTTGAGAAAATGAAAAAGCAAATAAAATTAAGAGACCAACCTTCACTTCATTAACTTTGCTAACAGGGGATTATAAGCTGCTTATACCATGTGTATTCCACATTGTGATTCAAGGAAAGGTCACTTGATTTAAAAGCCAGTAATGTTATTATAAGAATAAAGGTAGCCATAAGGCTGTTCTCATTCTACAAAAGTGCAAGAGACATACATAATGCTAAAGAGTCACAGTGACAAGGACAGAAGATACATGGAATTTTGACAGTGTGGAAGGAAAGCGTCTTACTTCAGGCGGCTGTAACAGGATACCATAGACTGGGTAGCTTAAATAATATTTATTTCTCACAGCTGTGGAGACCAACATCCAAGGTCAAAGTACCAGTACATTTGGTTCCTGGTGAAGACCCATTTCCTGGCATGTAGACAGCTGCCTTCTTGCTAGGTGCTTATATGATCTTTCCTGGGTGCCTGCACATGGAGAGACAGAGAGACAAAGAGATAGAAATAGAGGTAGAGACAGAGATAGATATTCCTCTTCTTATAAGGATACTAATCCCATCATGGGGCTTCACCTTCAGGACCTCATTTAAACCTAATTATCTCCCAAAGACCCTATCTCCAAATACCATCACGTTGGAGGTTAGGGCTTCAACATATGAATTTTGGGGTGACATAAACATTCAGTCCATAACAGAGAGTCTATTCCTATGACACTTAAGCTAGATGGCTCTGGCTGGAATTGAGAAGGAGAAAACAGCATGATCAGATAATCAGCCTGCTAACTGTTCTTGTCATACTGCTTGGCAGTTAGATATTCAGGCTCCGATTCAGATGAGAACACAGATTCAGAAGACCCTTGCACAATATGATTTGAACTGTGAGGGTCCATTTATATGCACTTTTTTTTTTCCCACTCAATGCATACTATAGTACTACACGATCCAAGGGTGGTTGAAACCACAGATGTGGAACCTCAGATACAGGGGTCTGACTGCAAAGTTATAAAGGGAGATTTTCGACTGTGCAGGGGTTTGGTGCCCCTAACATTGTTCAAGAGTCAACTATTGATTTAGAAAATCTCACCTCACACTGCTTAGAAGATACAAGACTACAGTATCTCTATGAATCACTGTATTTGATCAGCATTCCCATACAGCTTCCTCCTTGGATACAGAAATATTTAGCTCCAGAGAGAATATATTTCCTGTTGCTTTTCACTGGAAGAAATATTCAACTTTTAAAAATTGTGTTATCCATCATAGCTCTCTCACTATGGTAATCACAGGGCTAGGGAAAGGGGTGGTACTAGTACGCATTTCAGTATGTTATCTCATTTTTAATATTTCCAGTTGATGAAATAACAATGGATAGGTAAGCATTCAGAAAACAATGGAATGCAATCTCTAATGGAGCAATAGCAAAATTTTACATTGAAAAATATCAAAAGTAAAGCTAAAACTAGTAGGCTATCCTATGCCAATACACCAGAAGGAGGCCTTTGTAAAGTCCTAGAGGAAATCTAACTGAGCCAAGGTGCTTTGCTGTAAGCTCATTTTGGCCTAATAGGTGCTGTCAAAAAGTAAGAAAAGAGACCGATCCTTTTTCATATGTAAAATGAAGACATTGGATAATACATTCCCCATGGTCTGATATTATATGTATTAAGGAGAAGCAATTAACATGTTGGGTAATTAACTAGAGGATTTTCTGCTCCATCTGCCTTTATATTGATTATTATATGACTTCCTGCAAAGTTAGTAGTTTCCTGGTAGTTTTATAACAGAGGTCTAAAGACATTTAAGTGGAGCTCAGGCAAGATCTGTTCCAGTTGTATTAGTCCAATGGTTCTCAACTGGAGACAATTTACCCCCCGGGGACCCCAATCCTCAGAGACATTTGATGATGTCCGTAGACATTGCTGGAACCATATGACAGTATGTTGCCCACCTAATGCCCCATCAATCTCAAGTACTTTTATAGGTATTTCCTAAAAACAAGGACTTTCTCTTATATAGCCACACTGCAATGATCAAGATCAGGAAATTAACATTGATACATTACAACTCTAGTTCACAGACCCCATGCAAATGTGGCCAGTTGACCAGTACTGTCCTATGTAGCAAAAGGATCCAGGTCAGAATCACCTGTTGCATTTAATTGTCATGTCTCTTTAGTCCCCTTCAGTCTAAGGCAGTCCGTCAGTCTTTTCTCGATTTTATAACTTGGCACTTTTGAAGATTACAGGCTGGTTTATTTTTTAGGGGGTCTCTCAATCTGGGTTTGTTTGATGTTTCTTTATGATGAGATTAGAACCATGTGTCTTTGGCAGGAATATCATAGAAATGGGGCTGTATTCACTTTCCTGGCATCTTTTCAGGTAGTGCCTGGTTTCCATTTGTCCCATCACTGATGATGTTTGCTTTGACCCCTTGATAAAGGTGATACCTTCACAGTTACTCACCATAAAACAGGGGTCCCCAACCCCCGGGCCACAGTCTGGTATGGTCCGTGGCCTGTTAGGAACCAGGCCGCACAGCAGGAGGTAAGCGGCGGGTGAGCGAATGAAGCTTCCTCTGAATTTACAGCCACTCCCCATCGCTCGAGTTACCGCCTGAGCTCCTCCTCCTGTCAGATCAGTGGCAGCATTAGATTCTCATAGGAACCTACTGTGAACTGCGCATGTGAGGGATCTAGGTTGCGTGCTCCTTATGAGCATCTAATGCCTGATGATCTGAGGTGGAGCTGAGGTGGTGATGCTAGTGCTGGGGAGCGGCTGCAAATACAGATGCTCATTAGCAGAGACGTGACTGCACAGAGACCATATAAATCAATTGCTTGCAGACGCATATCAAAATCCCATCAGCGAGTGCCAAGTGAAAACAAGCTCATGGCTCCCACTGATTCGGCATTACGGTGAGTTGTATAATTATTTCATTATATATTACAATGTAATAATATAGAAATAAAGTGCACAATAAATGTAATGTGCTTGAACATCCCCAAACCACCCCCACCACCGCCCGCCCCCCCACCCCCGCCCCAGCCCCGGTCCGTGGAAAAATTGTCTTCCATGAAACCGGTCCTTGGTGCCAGAAAGGTTGGGGACCACTGGTATAAAATATTTTGTGGGGAAGTACTTTGAAACTGTAGATATCTCATTGTCAAACTTTCAATTTATTCCTTTAAATATATGTGGACTAATGGAATCTTATTTTACTCAGTGGGTTATAATCCATTATTATCATTATTTATTTGTATGCTCAACTCATCCCTGATTGGTCAGTGGGCACCCAGTCAAGTTGTCTTTTGTATTCTTTTGACATATCCATGTTCTTCTTTGAGCCCTTCCTTATTTTCTGGCACAAGGTGTTCTAGCCTTCTTTGGACTGAATTATGTCTCCCCAGAATTCATATGTTGAAGTCTTAGCTCTCATTGTGTTGGTATTTGGAGGTGGGGTCTTGGAGAGATAATTAATTTTAAATGAGGTCATGAGGGTGGAGTCCTCATGATGGGATTAGTGGCTTTATGATAAAAGACCAGAGAGCTCTCCCTCTCTCTCTCTTTCTGCCATGTGAAGACATTGCAAAAAAGATAGCTGTCTGCAAGCCAGAAAGAGAGCTCTGACCAGGATCCGAAACTGAATTGCCTGGCACTCAGATCAAGGGAGTTTCCAGCCTCTGGAACTGTGAGAAATAAAATTCCTCTGTTTAAGCCACCCAGCCTAAGGCATTTTTTACGGCATCCTGGAGGGGCTAAGACACAGGCCCATGATGTGTGTTTCCCTGTCCCAGATCTGGAACCCAGTGGCTATCCCTTTGGCTGTTCAGAACTCTGGACAAGAATAGTACTCTTATTGTTTCCCTGAAATTCACTTCCTGCCTTGGGCTTTTTGCCCCAAACTTGAAAATCCATCTCATTCCCACAGGGTTCTAACTTCTGTCCTCCAAATTAATATGAACAGAAATCCACGTGAACCTAGTTAAAAACTTGTAATGCTTTAACAATGTGCTTACTTTTCCATGTCAATTTTTAACCTCACAGAACCTCTTGGGACTCCACATTGGAATTATGAGTTTTGGCTGGAGTTCTGGGTAGTGCACTTGTGTGGCCAGCTGGCAGATATGGGAGCCTCGGAGCAGACGGCTCCCTGGCCTCAAATTGCACTGTGGGGCTGAGTATTATAGATTCTGAGTCTTATAATAGATTCTTTTTCTTCATTTCAGGGATGGAACTAGGAATTGGTGATGGGGGGTCTGGGTAAGTGGGTTAGTGGATGGGGGGAGAGTAGGAAACCAGTCCCACAGGGTGGTGACCTGCTCAGGTGAAGATATTTATGCCAGGTGCCTGCGTGGGGGACTCTGCATAGGATAAAGTGACTGGGCATCTGTGGAGAAAACAGGGGAAGCAATTGTATTGGGCACAGAGTTAAAAACTTCACAGCCTAATGGAGAGAAAATCACTTTAACATGGATGCCAAATCAAGTCTGATATTCTCTAGAAGAGCCAAGGATGTGGGCAGTTTCCGGGGAGCTCAGCATACACCTTGCTGTTGTGTTGCCTGCAAAGGACCCTTTGTAATCTCTCTCCATGGCTGTTCAGTTTTATTTGTGTGATGGTGTGGCTACAGTTTAATTAATTGCTATTTATCAGGCATCATACCAACAGATGGTATAATCTCATTTAATCCACTTAACGTTCCTAACGAGGTAGGTTTTATCACCCACATATCCCCATTTTATACATGAAGAATCTGATCTTAGAGGGTGAAATGAAATGATTAGCTCAAATTAGCATAGTAGAGCCAGGATTTGACCCAGGTCTGTGTGATTTCAAAGGCCATACTTTATTTCATAGAGGTAGTACTCAATAATGCCTCCAACTGTGGCCCTACCTTTTTTTTTTTTTTTTTTGCGGTACGCGGGCCTCTCACCGCTGTGGCCTCTCCCGTTGCGGAGCATAGGCTCCGGACACGCAGGCTCAGCGGCCATGGCTCACGGGCCCAGCCGCTCCGCGGCATGTGGGATCTTCCTGGACCCGGGCACGAACCCGTGTCCCCTGCATCGGCACCCACTGCGCCACCAGGGAAGCCCCCTACCTCTTTTTTAAGGTCACAGATCATGGTTATGGAAGAATTTGGCTCTTTAGAAATTCTAGACTCTGACCCTAGCCTTATAATAAGCATTACATTCTAACTAACTGGAACAGCCAGTTGCTTGCTATATCAACTAACTTTTGCTATATAGTAAGCCACCCCAAAGCTAGTGGCTTAAAAAAATGATTTAGTTCATGATTCTGTGTGTTGGCAATCTGTTTGGGCTTGCTGGGCAGTCCATGTGATCAGGGCCAAGTTTAACTCTTCTTGGCTGGACTCTATCCCATGTCTGGGAGCTCAGCTTCAATTATAAGGATGACCTTCCTCCGTGGGCTTGTGATCCCTTCATAGGCTTGCCTGAACTTGTTCACACAGTGGCAGAGGGCTTTGAAGAGCACCAAGGGAAGAGAAGCCTGGAGGTGTCAGCACTTTTTAAGTCTCTTTTGTGTCACTTTCACTAATGTCCCATTGGTCAAAGCTAGTCGCACAGCCAACCAGAATTTAAAGAATAGAGAAATAGACTCCGCTATCTAGAAGCATCTGCAGCATCCTTTTGTAAGGGCATCACACTGCAAAGGTGTTACATTACAAAGTCATGAGTGCAGGGATGGGAAGAATTCGTGATCATTTTTTAAAAAGTATCATAGTTGCCTAATTCTGTCCACTTATTTTACAAATTTTTGGTACTTCCCATGAAGGAAAATCAGACAAAAATTAGGGACATGTCATAGAAAACATTCATCGTTACTGAATATAGACTCACAGATATGAAGCCCTGTGTCTGGTTGGTCAAGTAGTGAAAACTGCTCATCATACTTAAGCAAATGAAAAAAGCTGGACTGCCATAATCATTACTCTTGTTTCTTTACAAACTGGCATTTTAATTATAAGGGGGATTCTAAAAATTGCTTGTAAGTCACGTATGAATTTTCACAAATGACTCTTATAAAGGCATCCAGAAAACAAAATAGCCTTCGTTCCAACCTGCTTTAGAACCCAAGGAAGTCTACTTATTTGAGCTTTGGATTTTCCCCATGAAGACTGAAAAGCAGGTGATTATGTAATTTAGAAAAACTTCGAGAAGCCAACTTTTTTTTTTTGGCGGTACGCGGGCCTCTCACTGTTGTGGCCTCTCCCGTTGCGGAGCACAGGCTCCGGACGCGCAGGCTCAGCGGCCATGGCTCACGGGCCCAGCCGCTCTGCAGCATGTGGGATCTTCCCGGACTGGGGCACGAAGCCGTGTCCCCTGTATCGGCAGTCAGAGTCTCAACCACTGCGCCACCGGGGAAGCCCGAGAAGCCAACTTTTTAAAGGAAATAATGAGGAAATGTCCCTTTAGGAAGAAGTTACCATAAAATGCCATGGGGTGAACAAATTACAACAACAAGAATAATGTCCTCTATCACGTGAAGAAAAAGGGACTTCTATCAAGATTTTGTACCTCTGACATTTGTTGGTTGGTGACATGGCAGAAGTGTTTTCAGTGCAATGGTCCCTTTCCTTCATCGTGTTCTTGATTACTATTGGGTCTGTTTCTCTTCCTCTTGAAAGCACTGAACTATTTTATCTTGACTAGAGAACAGAGGATCCATTCATATAATAGACAGAAAAGTTGAAGCAGAAGCTCTCTCATCTCTCTGCTTTGTTATTCTTGGGCAGAAATCATTCCCTGGCGGGTAATGAACTCCCTCGCAATTAATCCTTGTCAATAGGAGACACTTTATGAAATGAAATAAAAATAAAATTCCAGGGCTTCCCTGGTGGCGCAGTGGTTGGGAGTCCGCCTGCCGATGCGGGGGACACGGGTTCGTGCCCCGGTCCGGGAAGATCCCACATGCCGCAGAGCGGCTGGGCCCGTGAGCCATGGCCGCTGAGCCTGCGCGTCCGGAGCCTGTGCTCCGCAACGGGAGAGGCCACAACAGTGAGAGGCCCACATACCGCAAAAAATAAAAATAAAATAAAAAATAAAATTCCATACTGGATGTATAGAAGTTTTGAGGTATGAATGTGTTTCTATGTATACGTCTATGGGAAACCATAAAAAGAGATTACAGCTGGTAAACCAAAACTTTTCTTGACCCCAAATCAGAAGTATTTCCCCACAAAGTTCTAAATACATATAACAGTTTCAAACTTGGCTTTTCCAACTGTTTTAACAACTGAGTACGTACATGTTTTCCTCCTATGGCAAAAAACAGGCAAAGAGGTTTAGATTAAGCTTTGGGAATTGTTCTTTTAGAAAACCTTGGCTATGAAGTGTAAAACTCTTAAGTCAAGTAAATTTAGTAGTTTATTGACCTTGGGATGATGATGAATAAAATCTTTGACAGTCTCTTGTGGCTTTTGCGAATCACATATTATCGGCTGCAGGTCCATTTTCTAAACATCAGTTTGCCAAAAGCAAGTTTCCAGAAGCTAATTTACAAAATTATGTTCTCTAAGTGGTAAATTTGCAGTGTGGCCAGTTTTTGAATTTAGCGGAATCCGTGTTTGCTGAGCGCATGCATAACCTCCATTCCTGCTGCCAGGGCTGCTTTGTTCACCTGCCCCTTGGACAATAGCAGAGGGGCTGGGGAAGGAAACTAACTGATGTCTGCTGAAAGTGGTCTTCCAGGCCACCTGATTATTGAAATATTCCCCTGTTGACATCATCCTTTGGTGAGCATCATATGAGACACAGCTATCTTCACATTCTGTGCTCTTTCATAGAGATCTATCCACATCCCTCTTACCCAGACCTCCTTGATACAAGTTTTCCAATTGTGTTTCTTCCAACCAAACCATTAGCCAGATAGCCCATGGTTTGCTTGCTTCTAGGAA